TTCCCCCCCCCCCCCCCCAATCAGTAATAAAATTAAATTATTTTAGAAATATTCAGTGAAATGCAGTCATGCTATGCAGTTTTCACAGCCTCTCTGGCCCCCTTCAGTCCTGTGGGAGGACAGCTACAGCCAGGAGAGATTTCCATCCTGCAGGTCCTGCTGGTTGTCTTCTGAGGCTGCTGTCCTTACATCTTTGGCTGGGTCAGAGCAGGGCGAAGGAAGAAGCTGTGATGGTAAATGCCATATCATACAGCACAGCCCTTCCAGCTTTTCACAGGATTCTTGCTTATCCCTCTTCCATAACCTTTTGTAAAACATTTTCTTGAAATTATTTGAGTTGAATCTAAAAATTATTATAAATTTATCATTGCCTTTTAGAGTATGACTTTCAAAAGATTATCTACATTGTTACTTTTATGCCATGAAACCCCCCAGTAATCTCACCAGTACAGTACTTCTTTCATTAGGCTATTTTCCTTCAGACAGTGTAGTTGATTTTCTTGCCTTCTTGATATTAAACCTCAGTCTTCCTTAATTATAACCCTGATATCTTACCATGGCTTCAATGCTTAACATTTCTTTATGTAAATATCCATGCTGTATGACCTGAGGCATGCAATATAGAAGCAATCAGCATGAATGTTTACTTCAGTACCAACTTCTGTAATATTAGATGCTATTCTTTATAGACACCAGTTATGCATCAGAACTAAAGAGACTCTCATTGAGAGCTGTTTTTAGAGTACAGAAATAAGTTTGTTTTGAAGAGGAGGTACATGTCACATTTCAATTTACAGGCTTCTGCCTGAAATCTGGTCTCTGACACAGTTTTACTTTATTCAAAGGGCAGCTACAGAAGATTGAAAGATTTCCCTTAGTCCTTGTTTATGGGAAACAATATGAACTAGTATAATCAATACAAAGATGTACAATTGCTGACGTAGCTTCACTAGGGGATTTTATGTCTTCCACACAAGCAGCATCATGGTCCTTGTGATTTCTTCAACCAGTTCTCAGGTGGGAATTTCTGACTTTCTCCACCTCCCTAGTCAAGATATTTCAGCATCAGTATTACTGAAGATCCTAATGTACCCTTAATCCTCTAACAATATTTTAACCTCATGGACCTTATGTCCAGATCATCATCTCAATATTCTAATAATAATATATTGTATTTGAAATGTTGTATGCCTTCAAAGCATATAAGCTAGGTAAAGACAATCATCCTCATGTGACTGATCATGAAACTATAGGAAAGACCATCATATGGCTTATGGCATTCATACATCAAGCCTCCGACACTCCTG